GAAGCCATTCCCTGTGTCCTGTCCCTCCATCCCTTGTCCCCAGTCCCTCTCCAGCTCTCCTGGAGCCCCTTTAGGCACTGGAAGGGGCTCTGAGGTCTCCCTGGAGCCTTCTCTTCTCCAGGTGAACATTCCCAGCTCTCCCAGCCCTTGGAGCATCTCCATGGCCTTCTCTGGACTTGTCCCCAYGTGTTAATGTCMTTCCTGTGCTGRGCACCAGRGCYTCACCACTCTCACAATCAACAATTTTTTCGAACCATCTAGCCTAGATTTCCTCTCTTTCAGTTGTTCTTTCCCTCCCTCTTTGATCTAAACATTTCCCAGTGTTAATTATCATATCCTCTCTTCTCTACTCCCCCAACTTCAGCTGGGATGCTGCATATGAAAGAGAGCTGCAAACTTTTCAAGACATTGGAGATGCCGGGGAAATCTGGTAAATAAAATAACTCCTGCAGAGTCTTTCTGTAGTTTCTTTACCAAGATAAGCATTGCAAAACCACAGCCAGCAATTCAGTGGGTTGCTGACAAAATGATGGGGAGTTTTACCACCGAAACCAGCAGTTCCTCTCTTGCCCAATTTCACAGTGCAGATTTCTCAGCTGCACTTGGACAAGTGTCATCACACAGAAATTGAGATGGTAATTGAGGTGGATGTTACTGACAAATTTGCTTTTTATTCCTGACCTCAGGTTTAACTATACAAATTGCTCCCACTGCTGACTTTTTTAATATATGGACAATTTCACCTCCCAGTGTTGGTGTTTCAGTGWATTTTAAGGCTGTGTGATAATTTTGCATTTGAACAAAGCAAACGTGGAATATGAGCTATGGCAGTTGTTACTTTAGTAACAGTAAGAGGGGCTTTGCAAAATCTGGAGAGAATGAGTGATGAAATAAATTTGCTGTACCTTTTGTACATTTTTTCTGGTTTAATTACCYGGGCCCTTGTTTTTTCCAGGTTTGGGGAAGAAAGCATGGTGCGCATAATCACATGGTTGGAAAAGCACAAGGTCCCCCTTGACAGCTCTGTGCTTGACATTGGCACTGGGAATGGTGTTTTACTGATTGAATTGGTTGGTATTTTGCAAAGTTTGTGTATTTTTTTTTACAGAATCAGAGCAGTTTAAATACAGTTCTCACAAGTGGCAGTGGTAATCAAGGGGAGTTTGTGGAAGATAAAAAGTGCCAATACTTCAGATTGTTTTAACTTTACCTTTCTGTTTCCCCACACCTAAACTGCATTTCTTCCCATTTTTGTCTAGACACCCTCAGATAAGGGAATTAAGTTGGCTAACTCACAAAGTAACCTCATGTGCAAAACCAGACCCTTTCTCTGCACTCAGATCTGATAATAAAACTCATTTCTCATGTTAAAAAATGGGTAAAGTATGTAAATGTCTTAAAACGTTGTAAACACTTCTTTTAAAGAAGTGTCCATTTCTGTCAGGGTAAAAACTGATATGTTCTGAAGCTTTATGATGTTGTTGTGCACAACATGTTTAGGAGTTCCTGTATCTTTTTTCCTGTTTTTGATTGATCTTTTTGTGTCATACTAAGGGGAGTTGGTGAAGAAAGGGGCTGTCATATTGTCACAGCTTCTGTTGTTTTTCATTCCCCATTGTCTCCATTAGTTCCTGTAGGAGTTGGAAGGACTGGAAGCTGAAGTCAGGTTTGAAGTGAAATTGTTTTTTAACATTGACTTTGATTTTAGAAGACTTTAAAGCCTTAATGGGGGCTGGCTGCTACACCACAGCGCAGAATTTATGTCATCAAGAGTAGAAATTGCTCCTCTCACTAAGAAAAACTAGCCCAATAATAGTGATTGTTGAGTGCAATGATAGCTTTATCATGGTTGAAATGCCCAACAGAAAAATCTTATTTGTGAGACTTCARTTTTATACTGACTCTACTTACAAGTGGGAAACTAATTTTTCATACTRTAATGGGAAAATGACAGCCTGATAGCTTTTAGAAACTATTTAACTGCTGTGAGAGCATCTCTTCCTTAGATTAAGCACCTCACAGTAYTGTGGTTGCTTTCATAGGAAATCTTCAGTCTACTTCCCACTTGAAAAGTTGCTTCAAATATTACATTGCTTATTTTTGCTAAATAATTCAGGATCTCACCTGCTTAGTTGACATAAGGGGATTTTTTTTTGTGTTAGCTGCAAGGCTTTGGAAGTCAAGTTGGAATTCTTTTGGCAGCTACTGTARGACTGTTCTGCCTCTGAAGCTGAACTCCATAATGGGATAAAAATGGCAATACTGGAAAAGACTCAGTCATAGAGGACATCAGTAGCAGCTCTCTATAAGGGAACTACTTGAGAGTGCATAAGAATCAGATAAGTGAGACCCCTTGCAAATCCATGAGGGATTTGGTGCCTGGATTGATGACATAATTCTTTTGCCTTCCAAAAATTCCAGTTCTTCTAAGGAAATCTTGCTGCCACAGAAAGCTCTGGCCTTCTCTTATCTTTACAGGTAATGTGGGAGCCACCAATACCAAAACACTTCTCTGGAGTGGAGAGTGTTCACCCAGGTGAGGGTGTCTGCCCCAAACACAGGCCAGAGCTGATAATGTTACAAATTCCCTTCTGCTCTTCAAYCTGCTTCTTCAAGAAGCAGCAGCAGAGTGCTGTAAATACCCCCTCCAGGGCAGCAGTCCAGCTGCAGGATGCAGCCTGGTTACGTTTGGCACGAGAGGGAAGGATCCCTTCCTGTCCCAGTCAGGCCCTACAGGTTCTGCAGCATTTAATGTTGTTTATCTCCAAACCTTCCTGCTCTGCCCCCGAGACTAGAGGAGTGAATGGGAACTCCCTGAAGTGACTCAAGCCTTTCCTTTCCTAACAGAGGAGCTGTTGTGGGAACTACTCCTCCACCCCCAAACCTCCAGCACAGGCATCTGAGGAAGCCTGCTTTGCTCTGGGGAGGGCCGTGGGCAGGAGCCTGAGCAATAAATGTTCTCCATCCCATGCAAACAACACTGTCTTTGTGTTCAGCTGTAATTAGCCCTCAGCTCAGAACAGCTGGTTAGCACCCAGCTCAGGCCTGAGGGGCTGCTGCAAAGAGGAAGGACAGTTGTGGAAACTCCTCSTAGTTTTCCTGGCTGTTGAGGTGTCAGCCTTTGGAACAAGCAGACAAGCAGCTGGTTGCTTAACAGCGCTTCGAGTCCATGCATTTTTCCAAACCCCAGCCTCCCTGTCTCTTCTGTGACAGCCTGCAGCTGGCCAGAGGGTCAGAGCCTTCCCCATCAGGTTTGGATCTTGCCAGACCCACTGACACACATGATACCCTGAGTTTTTCCTTTCAGCTCCTACCCTGGAGTGAGGACGTGTGTCCCTGCTCCCCTCCCACATGCCCAGCTCCAGCTGGTGCCAGGGGCCCACCTGCTTTGCCAAAGGGTTGCTGGGATCTCACTGAGCTCCCTTAGATGGGTTATCCTTATCTCCAACAAACTTAGATTAACAAAGTCTCTGTGTGCTATTATATGTGGTGCATAACCAGCCTGAAAATTGCTGATACAGACACCTGGCAACATGCAAATAATTGTATTTAAATAGACATTAGCATGAATAGTTGGAAAAATGTATGATTTTCCAGTGGATTTCTGTACTAKTCCAATGTATTGCATATTCTGGCTCTTACAATTTGGGTTGTAAACTAAATAGTTGCTCAATCTCCAACGTTACATGTCAGAGAGGTTTTTTCCCCTGATTTTGAAGCATCTGGCATTGTCTCATGCTCTCATCACTGAAAACTCCTTGTTTCCAAGTTACTTTTTTGTACAGATAAGAAAGCCTGTTCCCCTCCAGGGTGTTACTTTTCACAGTTGTGCTCAGTTTTCCATYTGACAGAAACCAGCTTTCAGTCACCAGTTCATTTGGTGAGGTATTTAGGCAGAATGGATGAGCTGAAATAACTCATTCAGCTGTTCAGCTCTTGTAATGGTAACAGGCATAAAAATGAGTAAAAGGTGGGTTGTGTTTTTTTCCTGTTATTAAGAGGAGGAGAGATAAGATGGATTAGACAGGGAATGTGCTGGCTGGATAAAAACAATTGCTAGCACACTGATTAAGATTCTCTGCTTCTGTYTAGGCAAAGTCTGGCTACATGAATCTCACAGGCATTGATTACTCACCTTCTGCAATACAGCTTTCAGAAAAAATAAGAGAGAAAGAAGGGATGTCTAACATTAAATTAAAGGTAAGTCTTGAGAGAAAGTTAATTGAGGAAATAGAAAGCAATTGAGCCCAAGATTAAACAAGCTAATTGATATTCAGATGTACTCAGTGTACTAAATTAATGATGTCTTTTGACATCCATTTGTGAGAGAACTCTAGCCAAATAAATCTGTTTACAGGAAGATTTTTAGGTCTTTTTTYCTTTTTTTTTGGTTGTAACAGTCATAAGGGCTAACAAGATTTTGCTGCTTGGAGCAGGGAGCAGAGTAGTGGTTCAAAAATTGGCAAGTTCTGTATTTTAGCTGCTACATTGTGAATTTCAGATTTGAGGTAGAGGAAGAAATCCTTCAGTGATAAAATCCCTACCAGCAGCTGAACAGCAGGAAGTTTGAGAGGCCTTGCTGGAGCAGAGGAAGGACCAGATGACCTCCAAAGGTCCCTTCCAGCCTCWGCCATGCTGTGGTTCTGTGGCTGGCTGTCATTCTGATCTCTCTGCTGTGCTGTTCTACCCTCCTGCTCTGTACCTGTGTGATGTCTCTGTTCCTGTGTGTCAGCTCTAAAATCTTTTTGTGGCAGGCTTTGTCTGTTCTCTGCATTTGTGCAGTGCCTGGCACATGGCAGGGATCAAAGTACAAATAATGATTTAAAGCATGAGCTTCAACTGTTAGCTTGAGCTTTAGATTACAGCAAACAGCTCATCACACAATGTGTAGAGAAGAAAGAAGCTCCCAGGGCACTGAGTTACCCTTCCCTAARCATTGCCAGGAGTGAAGCTTTGTATCCTAAAATCTTACTTTGCATTAAAGATTCAGGAGCTGCCGAGTAGAAGATTGTTCTCACAGCTGCAGACTTCTGCTTTAGGTAGAAGATTTCCTGACCCCCTCAGCTGAGCTGTCAGGCTTTGACATTTGTCTCGACAAGGGGACTTTTGATGCCATAAGCCTCGACCCTGCGGACGCAGCGGGGAAGAGGAAGCTCTACGTGGGATCCCTGAGCAGGGTGTTGAAACCAGAGGGCTTTTTCCTCATCACCTCTTGCAACTGGACCAAGGAGGAGCTGCTGAACGAGTTCAGAGAAGGTAAGCAGCTGAACAGAGCCCTCTGCCAACTTGRGGTTGCTGAAGGAAGGGATGAGTGAATTTTCAGGTCGGTGTTAGCATATTGACTTTCCCAGATCAGGATTAGAGGAGGTAAAGCGATTAGTAAATGCTCCAGCCTGTCTTCCCTCTGTTTTCYTTGGGAATTACAGCTCCTGTGTTTGCCTGTGCCAAGGGAGGGCAGGTTTCCTGACACTTTGGAGGTTGGGAATTTCTGTCGAATTACCCTGGGAAAGTGTGTGGCCRCTGATACTTTTTGGGTCCTTGATTACAAGACCCAGTTCACGATTTGATTGCTTCCAAACTGGGGTAACATTGTTTCCCGTGTTCAGGGGAACTGGCAAGTCTGTGACCTTTTATATCAGCTCCCCAGCTGCCCTTTTGATCCACCTAGGAGGGGTTTTTTTCTGCATGCCAGTCAGCTCCTGAACCTCGTGCCTGAGGTTTGAAACTCAGAGTGAATCTGAAACAGCCATCCCTTCTGGGGAACTGAAATTACTGGCAAGTTCTCATCTTTTCTGACATTAATTTGTGCAAGCCATCCAGCTAAGATTTTTTTATTATCCATGGAAGAGTTTCAGCTGTATAAAGCAGTGGWGCAGTGTAACAATGCAGTCCTATAAACTCACAGATTAACTGACTTGTGAGATTTCCAGGTGAAYAAAGAATGGTTTGCAAAGGGTTATCCAAGAGGCAAATAAAACGACTTCCTTCTAATAAAAGCATTTCAATTTCTCTCTGGCAGGATTTGAAATTCTGGACGAGCTGCCAACACCCAAGTTTTGCTTTGGAGGAAGAATTGGAAACAGTGTTACAGCATTGGTTTTCCAAAGGAAAAAAGTGAAGCCATCCATCTTGGACAAATTAGATTAGATGAGACAAGTCTGAACTTTAAACCTGACAGAAAACCTCAGACACGTGTGTAAATAAATGCTTTTTGAGTGTACTGTAAAATACTATGTATGGAGCTCTAAGGGACTATAAAACATTGCCCTAGAAACATTTCACCTTTGCATAATTTGCCCATAAATTTTGTCCTTGCCACAACCTCACTGGTTTTAGAGAAGCTGCAAGTTTGTATGAGAGAGGGAAATCAGACATACTAAATACAAGGACCAACATAAACTGAATGATATTGGTGCTTGAAACATAAGATTATCTGATATTTAATTTCTGTGCTGGTACACAGTGACCAATAGAGGTAAAGGTATTCTACAAAGCAAAAATCTCATTTTTCTGTTGTGCAGTGGAATGAGGAACAAGCTTTTGCAATGTAAGCATTGGATCTTTAATTTTTTTCCTTAGGTGAACATGAAGGCAGCTGTTAAGGAGGGAAATGAATATAAAAACCAGAACACTTTCAATCAGAAGTTTTCCAGTGAATTTCTCAGGGTGGATTTTAGCTGCAAAAAATCCAAACAATTTCAAAGCATAACTAACCATTCTTTGTTGGTTTTTTTTTTTAATTTTTTAAAAACTTCTGTGTGCAATCCTTTTGCTCAATTTTGTTGCCTTAATTTCTTCTGTTTTGTAATCTCAGAATATTGCTGTCTCTTGAAAGGCAGGAAAATGAGATTTCTTCATGCCTTGACAAACACATTTGCAGGTGACAATAAACTTGTTCTTTCAAACATCAAGGAGGCCCTCTTAGGCAATCAGGTTTTGTTTCACAGGCAAGGTCATGTTTGCTTATCAGGGAATTGCTTCTCCTGCTTTCCACGCTTCTCCTCATTCCCAGGGCTCAGGAGATCTTTAAGGGTCAATAAATACTTCCAGCCCTTTCCCAGGACAGGAATCAAGGTGTTATTTTGCACAGTGCTGAGTCCTCCCTCTGTGATCTATCTGTCATTGTCCTCAAGGTAGGAATCCTAAAGCTGCACCTTTTTGGGGTGGGATCTATTCCATTGGGAGAATGATTTATCAGCAGTGCTGACATAATTTAGTCCCATAATTTAGCCTTGTTAACATTTGGGTAACTGTTGTAGTCCTGTGTTCTGCCTCTGCCCAGTACCCAGCTGGAATGTTAAGAAATGTAACTGGGAGTCCAGACTGGGGAGTTTTTTGATGTAGTAGTACAAAGGATTCAAAGTACACTACTGATAACAGCCTCAGGAAAAAGCCTGTGACATTTTTGGCATCAGGTAGAGTTAATATGAGGAAATTTTAATTGTCAAGGACTCTGGCAGGATGTGTTTCGGGTATCTGTTTTATTCCCATCTGTAATTTTTGCTAATGAAGGCATGATGTGTATTTAATCATGGAATGAAAATAAAATCAGGGCTGTCATGGATTTTCTTTTAATCAATTAGTTGGAATTCTACCATAGATTCCCACTCCATAAGATAGGTAAAGTTCAGAGCAAATATTGTTTTCTCCTTTTCACAGAAGTGATTATTATTAGTTTTTATTCTCTGGGTMATATTTTTATATTATTTGTAAAGCTAAAAATAAGCTTCTTAAATTTGCTTGAGATTGAGGATTTCTGCATCAGATCTGTAGATTGCATATTCCCTCAGTCCCAAGCACTTGCAGGTGTCACTGGAGAGCAGAAAAATGCTTGTAAAACATGTTTTAGGAGCTTTATTTTAAGGCAACAGTAACCAAAGGCTTACTATTTAAAATCTGCTCTGCTGGAAACCCAGTATTTTCTGGATAATGGAGTTTAGGTAGATGTTCAAATACTGRTTTAGGCAGTGGGGTTTTTTTGGCTATGAGGATTTGGAATAGACATGTGAAAGACTCTCCTTGTTTTGGGGCAGTTCATCTTGCTGGAAAGTTTTGATAGTGTGATCTCTAAATGTTCATGTGTTTCAATGAAAAAACTGTTAGAAAAAGAGGCAGAGGAATAAGAAGTGATTTAGGAGGAGGTTTGTGAGTGCTCCATGGTGGTTCCTGAAGGCTGGAATCCTTGTGACTACACAGCTGAGTGACTCTTGGTTTCAKCTGCAGCACCAGACAGCAGGAGAACAAATGCAGCATTTGAAACATGTTTTACTCCTATTGTTTTGCTATCTGAAAACTCTGTCTGCGATTTCACTGTCAAATATGAGGTTTGTGGGTAGTAAAACTAACATCTGCCGTGGGTCCCAGAGGTGGCTGAGCCCACAGGCTGTTCCTGCGGGACCGAGTTTAGGCTGGGAGCTGGCAAACCTTCCTGGAGTGGTTTTGCATAGACAGTGGGCAGAACAGAAAGGATTTGTATTCCCTGGTTCATGGACAGCATGCTGAAGGATGGAATTCTGTCAGGAATGACCTTCTATTTCAGGAAGATTGAGGATGGCTTTTAGTGCCTGTGCCCAAACAAAGCACCTCCACCAACATTGTGCTTGGTGCATCTCAGACATCTGATACCTGGCTGCTGATGCCTCCTGTTGCCAAGAAAACTGTACTCAAAAAAACTGTACTCAGGAATTCTCTTTTGAGGCATTTACTGGGAGAGGCCATTGAATTCATTGTGCTYCTGAAAGAGCTTGGAGCATTTTGCCCTGGAATTTAATGTGGCTTATCAGAGAACTGAACTGTCAGGATGAAATATCTGAGAGAGGTGACCAAGTGATGTTAATGAAATAATTATTGATCTGAGATGTGTGTTCTAGGAGAGTTTTTACACATGGGACTCTGTTAGAGTGTGAGGTAGATGGGTTCTCAAGACAAAAAGCTTTTGCCCTTTCAGCATCACAGTACTTTCACAATAAGTACTCCTATAATGATTTTTGTATGAATTAAAAAGTAAGAAATATCAGACATGAAAATCATGGCACAACTGAATGAACACAGAAAATTCCAAAGGAAAATTAATGTATCCTTGCTCCTTGACTTCCTTTTTGGTGACCAGCTTGTTACCTATAAGAGAGGCATGTTCCTTTGATGGTCCTTAAGGAGCAGGAATAGTCATAGAATCCCARAATGGTTTGGGTAGGAAGGGACTTTAAAGACCATGGCATTCCAACCCCSTKCCATGGGCAGGGACACCTTCCACTACACCAAATTACTCCAAGCCCCATCCAGCCTGMAGTGCTRTCCTTAGGCTGTTTTTTAAAGGTTGAATTTTTAAATTTTTTTAAGGCTTAGGAGACATGGAATTAATATTCTTTTCTTGAAACTTAATGTGATTTTCTGGTGTAACACAAAGAATTTCTGGGAGCTACAATTCTTTTTAAGAGCTGTTGGGTTACATCAGAAACACCATCAGAATTRTGGCAGCTGCTTTTCCAGACAGCAGCAGTGATGAAGCATGGAATTACAGGCTCTCTGTCCCACCAGGAGAATATTCCTGCAAATCATTATTGAGAGCATCAGGGCTGAAATAACTGTTTGCATTATGGGCTCACTTTCTTAAATTCAAACCCAGTGTTGCAGCACCATTTCTGAAATCTGGGAATAGCCAGTTGCCTTGATTGTATCGTAAAATTTGKGGTATTTAACACCTATAGCAAAGGAGATTCAGGGTCTTTTTACTTTGTTAAAAAAAGAACTTTCAGATATTTGGGGTTTTAAACCTGCAGTTGCTGTTTACAGGTGAGCTTGTTGCACCTGGGTGAAGAGGTGCATGTTCCATCACTCAGGTCTCAGGTGTGATTCTCTGGAGAGCAAATATTGTTCTCTCATATAATTTGTATCGAAATTATTTCAGTTCTGCACTGTCTGAAACGTGTGATCCCAAAGACTCCAATGAATGGGATGAGCTGTAATCCCTCTGGATTTGTACCCAGGAGTGCAGGGTGAAGCCAGGTGTGCAGGGCACAGCAAAGAGATACCTGTGAAGCTACAAAGCTGAGCTGACACAGCTTCTTTGGGGTTATTTTTATGTAAGGATRAGTTCTTGAATAGCTTTTCTGGTACATTAGGCACAGCATGCTTCTCTTCATCGCTGACAGTGGCTTCCATGTATTTCCACATTCCAGGRATGCACTGGCAGCACTGGAGCCATTGTGAGGAAAATCTGCCTGTACRTATACTCTGCTATGTCTGTTCTGCTGTGAGCCAGGGTGCCTGTGTAAGACTGCCAAATTTCGTGTTATTTCATACCAGACAAAATCTYTAAGTGTGGTATTTAGCAACATACAGCAAAATTTTCAGTGTTTTGGCACTGGGATTGCTTTCCTGATCTTGGCATGCTGAGAGGTGGAGAACATGGCTTGCTGCTACAATAACTGCTTTATTTTATAGGCCCTCTAAGCATTTCAACGTATCAAATCATCTCCTGTAAAATACGTGGAGAGCACAAAGAAAATAATTGGGCCAGGCCTTTGCAAAGCCATAAGGAGATCTGCCTTTGAATTCCTGTTGCYTGCTGCCTTTTCTGGGCTAAGAGGAGGGGGAGGCTGCCCTGCACAGCGTTACCTGCCCCGTGGCTGAGTGGGTGGTGCACGGCTCCATCCCATRCCTTGGCTGCAAGAGGGCTAAGCATGACCTAAACCTTGTGGTAGCAGCTAAATTGAGGAGCAATTAATGGCTACCGAGGGCTTTCAGTGAAAAGGGATGAGGTGTTATAGCCTCCAGACAAAGGAGGGAAAGGAGCGCTGGCGTGTTTTGTTTAACACAAATAAGGGAAAAGCCAACCTGCGGCTTAATTTCCATTTGTTAGGGAACAGTATAGCTCGGAACGAGCCGGTTTCTGTGTTACTGGAAATGAAACTGAGTGCTGTCAGGCGAACCAACTGCTGCCAGGAAACAGATAAATTCTGGGTAATCACAAGGGCATCAGCCCGTGCTGCAGAACCAGAGCTAACAGAGCTGGTGAGGGAACAAAACCTCAGCAGTCACTGCAGCAGCCAGGTGTCCATGGACAGTGTCATGTGTCAAGCAGAGGTGAGGAGAATGTGTGTATGTTGAGAAATTTCAGCGTTTGACAGGTTTGAGGACTGAAATTCGAGCAGAAGGGTCTTTCACCCCAATTTCCAGTAGTAATTAGCCTCGCTGGCTGTGCCCTACCCTCAGCTCCATGGGTGCTGCACTGCTGCTTCTCCAATGTAAGGGTGATGCTTTGGGGCATGTCCACAGYTGCCTGGGGCTTGGTGGATGAAGGACAAATAACTCTGGGCTTATCTTAAGCCAGTTCAGAGCCAAACGTGGCCGACAAAGTGGTAAGCATGTTCAGGCTTACCACTCTGAGACAGAAAGGCTCACAYATGTATTTCATGGCCTATTTATTTTATCCATGAACGTTTCCATTGCTCCCAGTCTGGGGCACCCGGATCAGGTGTCTGAGGCAGGCAGGGAGGCAGCAAACACAGAGCTGTTGCATGCGTGCAGCAAATAGCCTGTGATATAAAAAAAGGATTTTTAAATTTGGTGGAGATCCCATCGTATGCCAAATGTAGTCAGAATAACTCTCTGCACAGCAATTCTTCACCTGTTTGGGGCATCAGGTCTCTGTGATTCTGTTACTTTTTGACCTGGAGCACACTGAACATATTACAGAGATGTGCTCCTTCCCTGGGCATGAAATATTTGCTAAAAATACTTCCACTTGCAGTTACTAAGACTTTGTGAATTTGAGAATTTCCCCTGACACTGGAGCGTAGCTTTTGAAGCTGCTCTCTCTTTCATGCTCTTGGAGACCTTTGGTGGAGCCAACACGTCCCTATGAGCACATGGTACCCAGCACAGCTTGGTGATTGGGACATCATTCTGTGACTGGGACATCATTCCGTAGCTGTGACATCATTCTGTGGCTGGGGCATCATCCTGTGACTGGGACACTCTGACCCTCTGGCCCTGGGCAAGTCCCTTRCCTGTGTTTTTTGCCTGGCAGGAGAGGCAGGAGGATAACCCCAWAAATCACTGGGATTGCTCAGATGCTCAGATGGACAGTGCAGAGTTGTAGTCATTGTGAAAGGGACAATTCTGAAATTATTGCTAACCTTGGTGCACATGAATCAAGCAACAACAAACTGGAGCAGACAGCGAAGTTTGGAAAGGCTGCATGGAAAGAAGGCTCTAACTGCAGCCAAATCCTGTGCACTGGAAGTGAAGGAAATTCTGTCTATCCGCAGGGCTTAGCACTGCTACATCCACATGTCTTAATGACTTGGATCCCAGAATCACTTCAGAAGGACCTTAGGGATCATTAGATTTTTTTCCTATCCACGGTTTCCATCTCCATCAGGAAGGCTTCTAGTCAGTGGGTAGCAAAACATCTGAGACAAAAACACAAATCAGCTCACAAATAARTTGAATGAATTTTCTGTCCATGAARACTAAAYTCTCATGGCCAGTTCTTTAAAGCYTGAATGTTATTTATGTTTTTTTCCYCTTCTGACAAAGGGAAAAAGCACTGTCCAGAACAGGGACCTATGGGCAGCCAGTTATTTAAACAACATTACTGAAAATAGTRTTTGTGGAAAACAGGTTTGTGCTTCAGCAACAGGCCTTCACAGTGCTGGGAATTCTCCACAGCCAGCTCATCTTGGGAAGCCCAGAGGATGAGAGGCAGAAAATGCTGGGGTTGGAGCGAGCTGCAGAGGCAGACAGAAAACAACTTTCTGCTTGAGTCTTGGAGCCCAAGGCTGCCACRGGAATGGATTCAATTACGCTCTGAGCTTTATTGCTGAAATATTCCACTGGGAAACCATAAAAAAAACATTTTCAGACTTGATTCCCGAAGTTCTGGAAAAGGAGTTAGCAAGTGTTTTATTGCTACCAGTCTCAACACGTGATAAGAAATGCAAATGCTGAGTGGGATGGAGGAACATGGTGCAAAAGCCCCTTCACATCATCAAACYCTTCTGTCTGTTCATCGCCCACTCAGACTGGCCACTCCTGCTTCATTTTATGTGTGCTGAGCACGGAGCCACTTCTGTTGAGATCAGCCCTCACTGTGTTGGTGGGAGCTGCTCCCTTGTTAAATATCTGMCCGCTGCTTCTGCTTGCTTCCCTCTTTCTTCTTCACTGCATTAAATACCGACTGCAAAGCCTTCCTCAAGAGTAATTTGTCCTCCTGGGCTGTGCAGCAGCAGGACAGGACACCCRGAGCACTGCTGAGTTCACAGCTACAGCTTCCCTTGCCATTCACACCCTCTCTTGTCCCTACAGGCCATCCCCAGCACCCTGCCCGGCCATCCAGCTGGGCGGATGAAATTCAGCTCCAGATTCATTCCTGATGTCATCTGTGTTGCCTGCTCGCATGTGTTTAAGATTAATGTTTAGGCTCTGTTTTGTAATGAGCTCTAAATCTTCCTTTTAGCTGTCATGTCGTTTCCTTGTTCGCTCGTTACGCCGGCTCTGGGAAGGAGCGGCGTGCTGTGCGCGGCACAGCCTGGCTGCATGGAAAATGTCACTGGGAGAGCACGGCGCTGCTAAAGGCCATTCCCACGTGAAGCCAAGCAGATGTGCCTCTCAATACTGCAGGGGACCCATGGCCCCCGCCTAAACAGGCTTCAAGGGAACTGGGGAGGGACTGGGGACAACGGCCTGGAGTGACAGGACAAGGGGGAATGGCTYCCCACTGCCAGAAGGCAGRGATGGATGSGATGTTCAGAAGAAATTATTCCCTGTAAGAATGTTGAGGTCCTGGCACAGGGTGCCCAGAGAAGCTGTGGCTGCCCCTGGATTCCTGGAAGTGTCCAAGGCCAGGCTGGACAGGGCTTGGAGCAMCCTGGACACATGGAAGGTGTCCCGGTCCATGGCAGGGGGCTGAAATTAGATGATCTTTAAAGGTCCCTTCCGACCAAAATCATTCAATGATTCTATGAGAAATGGAGACAAAAATTAAGGAGTGGGACTTTATTTCCTCCTATCCCACCGGTGGGTGTAGGGGCGCATGGTGTCCATCTGTGATGCGCCAAAACTTGGGCGCTACTTCTTCCTGCGGGAACCCTTCAATGCGCGGCTGGTGGAGTCCAGTTCTCCTGCTCCTCCCCGGGCCGGCCGTGCCACCAGGAGTCACTCTCGGCCTCCGAACGGGCCCGGAGCCCCAGGCGAGCCGCACCCGCAGCATCCCGGGCTGCGGGGCCGTGTGCGGGCGCTGATGCCGCAGCAGCGCTGCCTGCTCCGGTCCGCGGCTCCCCGTCGGGCAGCGCCTCATCGCTGCCCGAATCCCCTTTTTTATTATTTTTRGACTTCCCCCCGCCCCCCATACGCTCCTCCTGGCGGTGTTTAACCCCGGGGATGCCCGTTCGGGGCTGCAGCCCGGGGTCTCCCCCGCCTCCCCTCGCAGCGAGCGCTCCGGTGCGCGGCTCCCCGGGGCGGGCGCTCCGCAGGTGCGGGCCGGGCTCTGCCGGCGCTGGCTCCGCTCAGGAAGTGACAAGCGCATTTCCTCCTCCTCCTCCT